TCATTTCGAATGTTTTATTCATATTCAGCACCATTCGATTTTCATCCGACCATAATTTCATATTTTCTACCTCTTCAGCACTTGTATCATCCTCATCATAGCCCGGGGCTTCTATTGTTATATCATCAGCGAATTTACAGAGTTCATTGATTGGATTGACTGGTTTAATGTCATTTACCATTATTGAAAATAGTATCGGGCCTAGAACAGTCCCCTGAGGCACGCCACGATTAATTTTCAAGAACTCGGTTGTGATGCCATCAACTGTTACTCTCTGTTTGCGATCTTTTAAGAAATCTATCAACCAATTTATGATGTACGGGTTAAAAGGCAATTTCTTAACTTTTCCAAATAGTATGTCGTGTGGAACACTGTCAAACGCCTTGCTAAAGTCAAATGATAGTACTCTCACATATTTTACACCATTATCCAACCCTTTCAACCACGTATGTTGACATTTAACTAAAGCCATCGTTGAATTATGTCCCACTTTATATGCGTATTGGTCAGAATCGATTGAGTGATATATAACATCTGCGATCTCATTTTTGTATATACATCTCTCAAATAACCTCATTATGATGTCTGTTAGTGAGATAGGTCTCAGTTCAGAACTTGAGTTGATAACATTTTCTTTTGGTATTGGAACTATATTCGCTCTCTTCCATATTTCAGGGACTTTTCCAACTTTCACAGATACGTTAAATATTTTTGTTATAGCTGGAGCTAATTCAGCTGCGAATGTCTTCCAGAACCAATGTGGTAGATCGTCCGGGCCAGATGATGAACGCTTCTGTTTTCTTAGAAAGTTATAGACAATATCGACAGAAAGAAACGGAATTCTAGTTCCCTCTGGAATTTCTAGTAACTGAGGGGCTGAATAATTAGGGTCAGTGTTAATAGTTTGAAAGTAGGCATTTATAACATTCGGATCAATCAGAGAGCTAACAGGTGCAGAATTTTTCTCTTTCCTGCCAGTAATGTTATTAACATTATTCCACCATTTCTTTGTTCCAGTTTTATGATTTAGGTTCTCATTTTGAACAGCATTAAGTTGATTGGCGCGAATTAGTGTGTTAATTTGATTTTGTAGACGAAAAGTAGATTCTTCATCACCTACGCCTATAGCTTTCTTCCTTTTTTTCAACAAATACTTTACGAGAGGGGACATAAATGGTGGATCGCGTGACGAGGTTCGGACTTTTATCAGTGGGAAATTGTTCTCGAATCTCGGCCAGAGACTTTCATAAAGTTGTTTAACCATTTCATCAGGGGCTTGGTCATATATTGTTATCTTGGACCAATCCACATTCTCTAGTTCTCTTAGCATGTTTAATTTTCTATGTTCTCTCACATCCCTAAAGAATGAATTTGTTCTTTTTGCTTTTATGTTTCTCGAGTATGCAATAATCATATTATGATCAGTTCTTACCAAACTTTTCTTAACTTTTATTTCCTTCTAGTAGTGAGGAGCATTTGTGACAAAAACATCTAAGATATTGTTACCTCTTGTAGATGATCTAACCAACTGTGCAAAAGATAATTGATTAAGTAGGTCGCGAATATTCAATCTGTTTATATCTCCAGTAATAATCATCTTCGTATTAGGGTTTTCCGATAATAACTGCTCGCATGAGTCCATTAGGAATTCTATTAAATCGTCTGCATTATAATTATGGTCGGGAGGATGGTATACAGCTGCAACATTAAAACTGGAGTTTTCAGTTGTAATTTTTACCATAGGCATTCAAACGGGTTATTCATATTTGGTATTTTTTGCATTCTCCAATCTTTTCTACAAAGGATTGCCACTCCACCACCACGGGCACCTAATCTATCTTTTCTGATGATGCAGAACTCAGGTGGGCAAATTAGAGAACTGGCTATAGTTGCATTTAGCCATGTTTCTGAAATACAGCAAACATCAATATTGTTACTCTTGAGTTCCGCATATAACGCTGGGTAGGCATCAGGCTTCACTATTGATCTAGCATTCAACACCAAACACTGTGGAATTTGTTTTGGTTTGCTGGGTCCTTGTCTAGTAACATTTACACGACTTAGATTTCTATAAGAGTAGAGGGGTCTTTGTCTAGACTTTTTACATCTTCTAGACGAGATGTATATATATGCTTGACGAGTTAAACATAAAGGTCATTGCTGTGTGCCAAGTTATAAATAGGCGCATTCCGATGCACCGAGCCATGCTTTTAATGCAAAAGCTATTCTGCGGCAGTATTTGTCTGTCGTTTTGGCGAATGAACCTGGCGAATTTCTTTGGGACCATCGTAAATTTGACAATGGTAGAATTGATTTGTTGTCTCTTGATGGGGTTCACTGCAACCCTCAAAGACGGTATATCTTATACAGGAGTTATCGAGCAGCAATTTTAAAAGCTTTTAATATGTACGTTGCACGATCGATATTAAATTTTTACTTCAGCTGCCTTTTCGCCTTTTTAATTTTATGGCGTTTTTATATTGAAGCAGTTTATTTGCAGTACTTGGATTTTTCCAAGGTTCTTGTAATGTCATGTGCATATATTCAATAAAGTCATAAACGACATTAATACAAATCATACAAATGTGATATGATTTATCAATTTATGGTGTAATTTCCGGGGCCCAAGGGTCTGTGTGAATATGTGTCTGGGCTGAGCACTTGCTGTTTGCAAATACCACATTGGGAATTGAGCAATTATATTTTCATGCGAAGGAAATATTCATGAATTTGTGGCTTCTGTTTTATATATTAATATAGTGTGATGTGAGGTACCGGTACTGCATGTATATAGTTTATGTTGTGTACTTGGGGCGTTTGTACAAATGTTAATTGTTCTGACGTTCTGTTTGTATCAAACCACTGTACAGTATTGTCCTTGAATTTATGCACTTTTAGCATAAATTTAGGCCACAGTTTCTTGGTCATGGAAATATACGCCTACATGGGTTAGGACCTATAGGTGTTCAAATGCCCATAGTTTAATTCAATATATGGGGGACGGCGCGGCAAGTTGTTTTCAGATGGCCCAGTTATTTTGTTCGGCTACCTTTGTGGTATGCCATATTTAACAACAATCGTTTACTATAGAGTTGTAGATCAGTAGATGTTGTTTGTTGTAAGCTTTAAATTGTGTTTGTTGTGGAATAGTGCTTTATGATATATTGCCCTATCATGTGACAAGATATTATCAGTGGCTTGTTGTCTGCCCTATTTGCAGTTTCTCTTTAGAAATACACCTTCAAAAATAACGCCCGAAAGGCTCCCTTTTAGGACCGGTATTCGTTATTTATGTGTACGATTTGCCGGATGTTGTAGACCCTGGATCGCAAGTTGCTAGTTTTGCGGATGACACGAAGATGTATTGTCTCATTGATTCAGTATTTGATGCCAAGGTATCCTCACAACCTACAAGAGTGGTCTAAAACGTCTGTCGAAGAGAACTGTAAATGTCAAAAAATAACAAGAAAGAACTCTATTGAATATTCTTACACAATCCAGGGAAAGGAGATTGAGGTTAAAAAGAACAAGAAGAATCTCGGGGTCGTTATAGATAGGGCCTCACATGTCACCAACAACTGTTCCAAATCTAACAAGCCCCTCTGCGCGTTTCTGCGCAGGTGCAAAACTAGAACACGCGGCCAAACATGTATTTAACTAACGCTCGTTCGAGCTTAGAGTATGCTACTCAAGTCTAGGCGCCACAGTCAATTGAGCTTATGAGAAAAGTGGAGAGGCTGCAAGAGACGTGCGACTAAATTCATCTTGAACTTCCCGTTCCCATGCATGCATTGTATCATATCAAGAGAGTTCAACTCGTACATCGCTACAAATACAATACACGAATCGCGAAATTCGGGCAAAAATCACAGTTAAAGAAAAACATGTAGCTGTGACTGGATGATTTAAAATATGCGTATTTAAGTATTGAAATGTTCACTCATGCATTCATGATTACATATTACTACAATACAACACGAATGCATGACTGGACATTTGAATACTTTAATACGCATATTTTAGATCATCCAGTCACAGCTGCATGTTTTTCTTTGAATTCGGGCTTTGCCCGACTCGGAACGCGTCATTTGGATGCGCAATCGAATTTCGCGATTCGTGGATATCCTACTTTCATGAATTTCTTGATCTTGTTTTCTTTTACAAAGCTATAAATTGTCTGATAATCGTCTTGCTCCCTATTCTTCCTCAACCGATTGTACCAAGTTGTCTTACAAAGTCCACCAGTGATACTGATGCCCTGCTTTTTCGGCGTAGGGAATGTAAAACTGTTATACATTCCAACGGCAACACACATCTTACTAGAGGAACTCAACCTTAAAATATTATCAACAAGAGCTTCAAACATAAACGTAAAAATTATTATTCGGAGTTTCTTACTATAAGCAACTATATCGTGTGGAAAACCCTCACACCTGGCGTTCGATCGGCCTGTGATGCAATGTGGCAAGGAGTTGTTTTTAACTTTTTATTCCAAGTGGCTGGATGAAATTAGTAATTTCACTATTACTGTAGTCTCTCCCAGGGGCCACAGTAATTGGCTGTGCTCCTGTGGTTTCCACACCAGATCTTATTGTTACCTTTCTTGTATTTTTTCTGGCGAAATTCAATAAATAAATAAATAAAAAACAGTCATTGTAAACCATGACGTTTTTCTCAGAAAACTACAATATTATGTCCTTCCTGGTATATAGTTAACGTCGACGACTGGTGTACTTCTTTCTTTGGTTTACTTCTTATACTGTGGGTTGTCTGGAGTTTATACATGGACTTCAAAGATTTGGATTCTTGCACTTCACTTGGTGGAATTAATATTAGAATGTTAGGGTTTGTAATCCAAGTGAGTATATATACATTTTAAGACCTAACCAGGAACGACTGCGAAAAATGCAGCACAAGGTCCTCTGGTAGGAATTGAACCTACGGCCCTGCGATTCCGGTGCAGCGCTCTAACCAACTGAGCTACAGAGGCCAGCTGTTGAGCTGTAACCGTAAGTTCATCAATACAGGGTGTATAAAAAAAAAGGTAATCGAACTTCAGCGCGCTATTGTATCTGAATTACTCTGCGTATGAACGAGATTTTTTCACATTCGGAAAGATCATGCTTTTAGCTGTTGAATGATATCTTCTTCATGCCAAATGGATAAAAAATGAGCAAATACGAATCCGATAAAAAATGTTAGTCAGAATCGCATATTTTCACTGTTGAGAGTTGGGTCTAAAACCATTGAAAATGAACCCCCTTTGGTACTGAAGTTGATGAATTTCACTTCATTAAACTACGCACATATTCATAATTAATTATTAAGTAGGAATAAATCTTAGCTAAGCTACGACACGTTCGTGATTAATTGCTTTTTCTTTTGTTATGCATTGTTTTAATTAGGCACAGAGGTGAAAATATGCGATTTTGACTAACATTTTTGATCGGCCTCGTACATGCTTATATTTTCTCCACTTGGTATGAAAAGCATGTCATTCAATAGCTAAAAGCCTGATCTTTTCGAATATGAAAACCAATTGTTCATACGCCGAGTGATTCACGTATAATAGCGCGCTGAATTTCGATTACCTTTTTTTTTATACACCCTGTATATAAGTAATCGGGTGTGCGGGTTGTACTTCACTTGGTGGAATTAATATTAGAATGTTAGGGTTTGTAATCCAAGTGAGTAAATAAACAGTTTATACATGTACTATATATAATACAAGAATGTTGCAAAATAATACATATTATCTTCCCAAAGCAAGAACCATTTTAGAAAATTTAACAGATTTCAGGGTCCAGTGCCTAGTGTGGAGAAAAACAGTAATCAGGCTATATATATACAGTATAATGTTTCAAAAATTGTAATTCTAAAATATGAAATAAACCATTCTTAAATTAAGATTTACTGTCTTTAGAATTTTTATAAAATCTCCCCAAAATAGACTTCTGATTTCAAAAGCGTTCGAACCTTTGTAGGTAGCTATCCAAATCATCCTGACAGTCGATAAACTGTGGTAACTTCGGCATCTTCGCTGTGGCGATTCCCGAGTGATGCTCACTAACGCCCCCGTCTGTATTAACAGCTTGTACTTCGAGTTGCTTCATTTCCAGTTCGTGTCTTCGCATCGCCTCTTTCTCTCTCGCTTGGGCTTCTCTTTCACGCTCCTTCACCTCGAGTTCTCGCTGTTGTTGTCGTTCTCTCTCCTTCGATTCTAGTTTCTTAATGTCGCGCTCTCGCTGTCTTTCTTGTCGATCGTCGTCTACTTTACGCCTTTCGATTTCTTGTTGATCTTTTACAAAGTCTAACAGTTCTTTTTCCTTCAAACCTAACTCTTTGCCTAACTCAATCCACTTCTCCATCGCCGTAAAACTCGCTATATTTACGCCGTAAATATCTCAAGGTACGTTGTCTTTCTCAATCCCGATATTTTCCCAAAATATCTCTCGTTTACCGCTCGATAAACAATACTTTTCGCTTTATAATCGCTCTCGTTTGACCGATTCCCGCCTGAGCCCCCAGTGTTACAAAGTTCTCGTGTAAATCGGTCGCGAGCGACACAAATAAAGCCTCGTCAAAACAATGAATAATAAAATTTACTCTCAAGCACTCAAAAATTCATGCTCTCTGCTCTAATACACGTTATACAGGGTGTATAAAAAAAAACGGCGTCGTCCTAAATATCCTTATTTCTATCGTAAAATAAACTACCATAGTTTCGTTTTGTGCTCAATTTAAAGCTTGTTTTTTCATCTTTCAAATGAAGGGTTTCTCGCTAATCGCAATAAAATGAATTTAGTACAAGCGCTCGTTTTTAGATGCTTCGAAATATTAATCTTCGAAGTCCCTTGGGGACTTAAGGTGGCTCGCTACAGTTTATAGAAATGTTGAAAATACGTAAACTAGATCACAACAGGTGGGAAATTTGTCTGAGCATGCGCGAGCAAAATGAGTCACGCAATTGAGTGGAATACACGCAACGCGTGTTTACAAAAAGGCACAATCGTGCAAATATTGCCAAATGTTTGTACAAAATAAATGACTGTTTTATGTTGAAAATGGACATGATCTAAATTAATCATACAGAATTTTTTAGTGACGTTCTATTTCAGTACCCTGCCATTGTCTCTGGTGGGCTGTCCGTGTGCATTCGATCTGAAACAGTTGCTACTTTGCTGTCAAAGAATTTCGAATGTTTACATGAAAATAGAGGCAAGTCATGCATTTTACAACCTCTCAAACTGTATGAGCCCCTATTTTTACGCTTATACCTAAGATATCAAATAAAAGTACATGAAACAGAGAACAATTGTAGAAAGTTTTATCGTGAGGCCACGGCCAGTTTTTAAAATATCTTTATTTCTGTTCCGGTCATCACCAAAATTACACAAAAGCCGGGCTTGAATATACAACAAATTTTGAATCCCATCAAGCACAAAAATACTTAACGTGTAACCAAAATATGCTCATGAAATCGAAATTAATAGCTAAATTTTCAAACTAGACCCTTCTCGAAGCGGTTTTGATGAAGGAAGTTCACATTTCGGCCTTTGATTCTTGGCAAAAATTTGACCACAACACGTGCGAAGCAACTGGGTCTCAAAGACTGAACTAAAACATTGTGAGCCCCTATTTTCCTGACGATATGTTTGATACCTACAAACGCCGAAAAGTTTTTTCTTTTCATTTAGCTATATTTGAAATTGAGGCCACGGGCTATTTTGAGAAAGTACAATTCAAAGTCAAGCTATTTTTACATATTTTCAAAATTTGTCAAATTTCGCGAGCTTGTATTTTGAACTTAGACAACTGAAGTTACATTAAGAAACATAGGATGGAAAATTTGAGGCATATAAAGTTAATTTCAACTTACATTTCATTCTCAAATCACGTCTTTCTTCTTTTATTACGATTTTAAACAAGCCGTAGATCGACGTATACGGTGTTTACTCCCATGTTCACGTCGCCATATTAACTTTTTCCAATCACGCGATTACAAAACAATCATCGCAAAACAAAGAATTCATGATCGACTTTTAAAAGAATAACCAATAATTTGTAAATTGTTGAATGGAAAGCAAAAAATCGTCAGCTAAAACAGCTTCTTGCTAACTTTCTGCTTTGTTTTGAATGTAAATGCAATGAGCTTTGTTTCTGCCCGCAATTTTTTGGTCAGCGACGACAAATTTCCCACCTGTTCTAGATCACCTTTTTGAAGAGATGATGCTGTTTACAAATCGAAATTTGTATATTATATATACAGGGACAATCAAACAGTCGAAAATTGGTCAGAAAGGTGACGTCACCACTGTTGCTATGGCAACAATGACGATTCAAGATGGCCGATATTTTGGCTTTGAACGCATTTTACGTTAAAAAAAGGTCGGTTACCCCCATTTTTTATTTCAGAAAACATTTTCTTATAGTGCAATGCACTGTCTGGCCAATTTTAAAAAAATTCTGTAATGCAAAAAAAAAATTATTTCGAAAAACCATGTTTATAATTTTTTTAAAAATTTGGCATTACAGAATTTTTTTAAAATTGGTCAGATAGTGTATTGTACTATAAGAAAATGTTTTCTGAAATAAAAAATGGGGGTAACCGACTTTTTTTTAAAGTAAAATGCGTTCAAAGCCAAAATATCGGCCATCTTGAATCGTCATTGTTGCCATAACAACAGTGGTGACGTCACTTTTCTGACCAATTTTCGACTGTTTGATTGTCGCTGTATATATAATATACAAATTTTGATTTGTAAATAGCATCATCTCTTCAAAAAGGTGATCTAGTTTACGCATTTTCAACATTTCTATAAACTGTAGCGAGCCACCTTAATTAAAGGTAGCTGCTAAAATTCAGAACGTTGTTGTGTAAAGCTTTACAATCACCATTCATAATGCCAAAGCTAACAATTTCGGAAAGAACATTCATTGTTGAAAAGTATTTCGAAACAAAAAGCGTTGTTGCAGTGTTAAGACAATTTCTAATAGCTTTTCCAGGACGTAATCTTCACCCAGCGTTTGGCGTAATGTCAACAAATACCGGTTGCATGCATTGAATGGAACAACCACCCCATAAAGTTTAAATCGAAATAAAGGAAACTCGGGAAGAAGAGTTGTGACAGTCTTGGATATGAGACAAAGAACGAACTTGTATGAACTTAGAAATGGAGGCCACGTTGAGTAAATGTGTACTTCCAACTTACTTTTTGGAACGTTTAAATAAATTGTGAATTCAACACATCTACGTTTTTTAATTTTCCAATTGCACTTACTTAAATTGACACAGTTCGCCAGCAATAACTCCACATTTTATAAAATAAAGTATATAAAATAGCCGAAAGATCGCGATTTCGAAAGAATGCAAGTATAAACGTCTAACTTTTATATTCGCTTTGAAATTCACACTTCATGTGAGGACTCCGGTTTTTTTGGGGTAAGGATAAAACGCGGATACGGACGGACGGACGGATGGCGGACGGACGGACGGGGGGGACAAGCGGATGGACGGGGGGGGGATCAAATCCGCGTTTTTTAGGAAATGTAATTAAGACTATTATTAATCGTAATAAGTTGTCGAAAAAATGATAAAATATTAAATTGTGGAAATGCGGGGTTTTTCGAACCTTTGTAACGCTGAAAATTCTAATTAAATACGTTAGACATCTGCTCAAACTTGCGTCCAATTTCATTTGCGCAAATATCGCGTAATCGAGTGAGTATTTGAACGCGATAAAACAACTCGTACGAGGAAATATTAATACATAAGGATTACTAACTTACTTGCCAATGTCGTATATAAACAAAGCTCCAACTATTTCGTAGGATGTAATCGAGGCGCATTCATTCTCAATCTGATTATAATTGTAAACAATACTAAAGTTGAGAGAAATACTCATTACAGTGACACGATTCCGGTATAGACAGGCTTTGTCGATGTCAAATGTCCAAGTATATACGAAACCAGTAGTTTACAGGTTGTTTACAAACGCTAGCTTATATTAGTTTTTATCTGTACTTCCGCTTAAAAAGGTACATCAGCGACGTGCATATAAACCCCAAATGCCTAGTCTTTTTAAGATGAATTCTAATGAATAAATTGCTCTTGCAAAGCACAAAGCTTGCGAAGTACAAAACAATGTCCACTTTGTAATAGTTTGTATACTAGCGCACGGCTATTTGCTGTTCGCGCTGTGTCAAAGGTAATACGATATAATTATACTTTTCATGAAACTTCCTGTTGGACGTGCGGTGGACGGACGGGACGGTCAGCTTACATTAGCCATTCCAAAGTTGATGGGAGGACTGGGGACGAGTGTTAAAAAGTGCCCAAATTAAGAAATGAACCAAGTAACTAACTAAAAAGACCACCTTAAAATTAGTAAGTGTACAAAGTTTGAAGAAGTTTACATGAATACCCTTCGAATAATAAGCTTTCGAAAATTTTGAAATTGCTGATTAAAAGATTGTTTTTGGAACGCGCGTCCCAAAAACGAAATTACAATACATTTCATAGTAAATATCGCGATTTTTGAAAGCTTGTTATTCGAAGGCTATTCATGTAAACGTCTTCAAACTTTGTATACTTACTAATTTTGAGGTGGTCTTTTTAGTGATTTGGTTCATTTCTTAATTGGGGCACTTTTTAACACTCGTCCCCAGTCCACTCATCAACTTCGAAATGGCTGGTTGTCTAGAAACCCAATTTTCGAGTCAGTAAAACGCGGAGACGGTATTGAAAACTCTGTTTTATCTTTTAACTTAAAACGGACGGTTTTCGATCTCGTCAAAATTTCGTCCATTTAACGTCAAACTCTCGCTAGATATAACAAAGAAAACGTATAATTTTAAAGCTATATATACGATATAGAAAACGCGTCTCATCTTTGCTTGTTTGCCGTTGGGCTAGGATAAGGTTCAATGTCAATACTACGATGTATTAAATAAGATTAATCTTAACAAATTTAACTATAAACTGCATCAATACATATTAAAACCCCAATTATTCAAATGTCAATTTTAGAGCAAAACTCATGATTATCGTTCCGTATAAGTGCCTTTCTATTAATATAAATGGTTTCCCTATCCGAAACACTGGTCTGAAAACCAACACATCTGGCATGCATAACTGAAGGTAATGGCGGCCATATTGGTTTTAAAGATTTTTTAAGATTTTCTTACAATTTCTGATTATTATTGGGAAACGTAACGTAATCACTAGAAAAAAATTAGTCGCCAATTGCCTCTCTTTGGCTTTAAATTTGCCTGTGAATAACAAATTAGGTCACACCAATATGGCCGCCTCAAGTGTCGTTATCTGCTTTCCACAACATTTTAAAACTTTTTAGAAAAGATGTGGGCAACTTGATCTTTCTTTCTTGATCTTTCTTTTCCGGATACATATCAACAAAGACATTTGCTTGCATGATAGTAAAGCTTATTTAGATACCTAACAATTCGAGTTGTTGAGAATTTGATATGTTTGAAAATCTCAGTTCATAAATGTTCTGTTTCAAAATTAGCTCATTCAATTCAAAAGGATGTGTCAACCAGTTAGTTTCAGATCAGTGATCCGGAATAACTAATATGGCAAGGACTATACAGCTATTGTAATAAAAGTTGTCATCGACAATAGTCAAACGTACAATATGAGCGCTTAAAGAATGATGGGAGTAATCATAGTTTCAAATAAGTTTAGCATATCAGTAGCCTCGTGAGTATACTTTAGCGACCGCTCATAATGCAAATGAGGTTAATATGTAAAATTTGATTGTTCTGAAGCGAGTTACATTGTGATTTGTTGCTAAAAATATTTTCACGAAGCTACTGATATCCTCATCTTATTTAAATCAAGGATTATATTCCCGTCATCTTTTTCGTATTGTACATTTGCATGACTATTGTCGGTAACAATCTTAATTGAAAAAGCTGTATACAATATTCATACATCTAAATCCTCATGCCAAATTGCCTTAGGAGCAAAATGTGGTGCATACTAAGTTGAGATGCCACCCAATCTCCAACAGATACCATGCTGGGCTGAAAATAAGGCTGCTTGAAACGAATGCAGACTAAATTAACATGGAAATAAACATTGCCCTCTTTGTTCATTCTTTCTCCAGTTGTCTTATTGCTAAACGGTCGTAGCATTCGAGATACAATTGTAATGTCGTGAGGTGAATCAGGCACTCGATCTCCAGGCTTCAGCGCTTGAGAACATCCGAAGCAACTTTTAACATTTGGGTGGCAAAACTGGAGTAAATGAACTTCAAATGTCCCATTTGATGGTTGTGGGATGTAATACGGTACAGGGGATTATATGCATGTCGCTGATGTAGACAATCCCTGTTTTAAAATTGACCTTTTTAAGCGGAAGTACAGATAAAAACTAATGTAACCTAGCGTTTGTAAACAGCCTGTAAACTACTGGTTTCGTATATAGTTGGAAACTAATTGTTTGTGAGTTTAATACCAAATCATATATATTAATTAATTGGACATTTGACATCGGCAAAGCGGGTTTATATCGGAATCGTGCTGTCACAGTAATGAGTATTTCTCTCAACTTTAGTATTGTTTACATTTATAATTTAATCAGATTGAGAAAGAATGCGCCTCGATTACATCCGACAAAACAGTTGGACTTTTGTTAAAATACGACATTGGCAAGTACGTTAGTAAACCTTATGTATTAATATTTCTTCGTACGAGTTGTTTTATCGCGTTCAAATACTCACTCGATTACGCGATATTTGCGCAAATGAAATTGGACCCGAGTTTAAGCAGATGTCTAACGTATTTAATTAGAATTTTCAGCGTTACAAAGGTTCGAAAAACCCCGCATTTCCACGTTTTAATATTTTATCATTTTTTCGACAATTTATTACGATTAATAATAGTCTTAATTACATTTCCTAAAAAACGCGGATTTGATCCCCCCGTCCATCCGCTTGTCCCCCCCGTCCGTCCGTCCGTCCGTCCGTCCGCCATCCGTCCGTCCGTCCGCCATCCGTCCGTCCGTCCGTCCGTCCGCCATCCGTCCGTCCGTCCGTCCGTCCGCCATCCGTCCGTCCGTCCGTATCCGCGTTTTATCCTTACCCGTTTTTTTTGATACACCCTGTATGTCTCCTTGTTCTTGTCAATCAAAAATCCTTTTTACTATCATAACAATACCATATATGGTCCTTGCATGTTCACGCACGAACAGGCCTTAAAATATCTTTTACAGGGCCGTCTGACAAAATGTCCGATGACTTAGAATGGTCGGACATATGTATGATGTACGATGACCTTCAGTTCAGTTTGGCTCGGAAATAAGTCTGAATGTATTAATTCTGAACGGTAAATGTTGTGAAGATATTAAATAATTTGTGTCATTCATACTTATTTCCAAGCCAAAATTAACTTGCATGCCAATAACAACAGTAAGATGTCGACACTTAAGTTCGTTTTCCACTTCACCATTTCGCTCGCCGCCGGCGACATTTTGATTTACGTTGGACAAAGTTACCATTCGGTCGGACACCAATGCACTCGGGTCGGACAAACAATAAACCTCAGTTTCAATTAGGTCGGACAGAATGTCCGGTGGTTTCCTCACTACGTCGGACAATTTCATGAATGGGTCGGACAATGTCCGTGACCGACCGATATTTTAAGGCCTGACGAACGTTTATTAATAGATTAACTAATATCAATCAAATAGCTTAATAATTTGTGACAATGGGTGGGTTTACCGAGAACGGAATATGACAACGTTCGATACAAATACGGTACAGCTGCGATACACATGGCCACATGAAGTAAAAGAGTCACCGCGAGCAAACTTTGAAGCAGTTTATTTGAATGTAACATAATTCTGGCAAGATCTTTAAAGCCGGTTTTCCACTTCAAGCGTACCGTACCGAAACGTATAAAAAATGTTTTTGAATTTCAAAATTTCGTGAATGTTGATTGGCTAGTACTTCCATAGTACGCCTAGCCTGCATGGCAGGCGGTATTTCTACGGGCAGCGAAAATTAGGGAAGCAAAGGAAATACCGTCTGCCGCAAAACTAGGGGTTTTTGAATTACCCGTCCGCTGGTGAACGGAAAAAACGGATTGGTTAGTATTTTTATGTA